AGATGTCTACATGTTTCTGTGGGAGTAACTGACTAATATGCAGTTTGCATTTTCACAGGGTTGAGTAGATGCTGGGGAGAAGTGAAAAGTCCAATGGTGAATAGATGATGCCAGAAATAGCATTAAAATAACCCATGCAGAAGATGATTAGACGAAAGAATAACTATAGTGGAATTGTTTTTAAGAGCTCCACCTGAGGGGTTCTGCCCTCCTCTGTACTTTCCATTACCACTCCTGATTCCCCAGTAACAATCTGAACACATCTAGGCTCTCTAACGGACCTCTTTTCTTCTACTCACTTCTTCTTCCTCTTACTTGCCTGATACAAAGAGGTGGTTGGGACTGGGAATGAGGAAAAGAATGTCAGGGTCAAGAAAAAAGCCTGTGCAGCATAAGGAGAAGAGGGCAAACCTGGCCTGAGATCCACACACTTCAGGCTCCTCCTGTACCCTTTACAGACAGAGGGGGAAACGATGCACTCATCCACCTGCCCACTAACCCATAAACAATTCATCTAGGCTGCTCCACTCATCTGCCTTTTCACCTCTCCAGAGCACTTAGGTTTGTAACCAATGCTCTGCTTCCCCATTTAATCTGCCTTCGTCTGGGTCTTGTCCTGTTCTACAATCAGCAGGAAGTGCTGTAAATGTTTTCACAGCCCTGGCTGTGCCTTGACACCATTTTACTGCTTGTTTCTAGGCGTTTTTGTATAGTGAACCCCTAAAACACATGCTTGTAGACCTGAGAGAAAAATAGAGAGGGGGAGGGAGAAGAGAGGAGGAGAGGGCAGGGGAGCGGAGGGGAGAGGAGAGGATGGGAGGGGAGGGGAGGGAGAAGAGGAGAGGAGAGCTCCCCCCTGCCCTTGGGCATGAATGATTCCTAGAATTCCCTGTCCCATCCCTGAGGAACAACTCATCCATCCTAATTTCACCTCTTTTAAGCCCATCTTGGTTCTGCTTTTGCACTGTGGAAATTCACTCATTTTCAGGCTTAGATATCTGGCACCCAAGGAGCCCTGAGTGGCAGAAGAAGGAGAAGAGGGCTAACAGCACATAGAACTACCCTTTCTATAACCATGGTGGCTCCCTCTTCTCTTTTATAAGGAAGATAAGTTTCCATGAAATATTCCTTTAAATAGATATTTCTACCAGAATATAAGGGAGAAGACAAGGAAGGGTTAGGATCCAAACTTGTCACTATTCCCAGGAAAGGTGGACTGGACTCCTGATTCTCAAATAATCATGCAAAACTACAACCACCCTTATGTGTTACAGAACGCTCCAGCTTGACCTGTACTGTCTATATGTTGGTACCCATCACCTGACTTAGAGAAGTCTGATACTCCCCCCAAAAAAAAGATGCTCGATTGCCTAATTTAATCATTACTCGTTGTATGTATGTATCATGTTAATATGTTACTCCATAAGCATGAACGATTGTTTGTCAATTTAAAATCTTGAAACATGGACTGCCACCCCACCCCTAACCTGCTCAGCAGGTTTGTTCTCATTTCTAAGTGTTTTGTGATGTCTTACTGACCATTGGGCCTTTTGTTAAGTACAAACCTGACTCTTCCATGTCCCCTAAGAGTATATGACTAATAATCCTACTTAATTTCTTCAAATCTACTTACATTTAATTTGCTGTGCACAGTTTTGCGTCACTGATGGCCGCCTAATGCCCACCAAGTGCAGGGCATTCTAGCATCAATAATAAGCTGAGATATTTCATTGCCTGACAGATGTTCCACCAATAGCTCTTTATGTCACAGGATCAATTACAATGAATCTGTTTAAAAGCCTTTCCTTGTAAGGCTGCCTTCTTTGTGATTCATGGTTAAAGCTAAATATATAAAGCAAAAAGACTTTTTTTTAAAATATGACTTTGGGATTTCCCTGATAATTTCAGCAAGAAAATTTCTTCTTGGTAAAAGAATAAAGATGTGTATTTTTGTCAAATGAGCAGCATTTATACTTTCTTCTCTCTCCAGTACCTCTCATGTGCTATTCATGGGTATTTTGTGGTGTCAGAGTGTGATCATAAATGATATGAGATACCAAACTTTGCACTCACCAATGTTGGACGTGTTACCACAACACCGCATTACTTACCGGAGAGAAGACAGGCCTTAGTGATAACTCTTGGAGGCACACTGCACAGTCTGCATTGTTTGGTTGTGCTAAGGATAGGGCGAGCCTTCCCCAAAACCACCCAAACTACACTGGAGCAGGACATCCCCTGGCAGAGGAAAGTCAGCTCTATTCTTAACCACAGGACAACCCTACTTCTCTCCGTTCTGCTGACCTGGTGTGTTCACATGTCGACATCCAGGGAAGTACTGACACTAATTCTTCCCTTCCTCCTCTCCCCAAGAGAAATCTTACAAGAGATCCAGAGACTTCGGCTAGAACATGAGCAAGCTTCTCAGCCCACACCAGAGAAGGCTCAGCAGAACCCAACCTTGCTGGCAGAACTGCGGCTCCTCAGGTAAGAGAAGGACCCAAATTTTCCCAGGGAACATATGTTAAAGATCTGGTTTTGTTATGTGTCTTGTGGGAGCGTCTGTATGCATGCATACCTGTACATATGTGTATGGGTGCACTCGTTGGGTTTTGAGGTTAGCTACTGGCAATCTCTTTCCATCATGTCCTGCCTTATATATGGAAGAAGTGTTCCTCACTCGACCAGAGCTCACCAATGAGGCTACTGTGCCCAGCCAGCTTGCTCCCAGGATCCTCTGACTCTTTCTGAAGAGTATTGAGATTACCAGTGGGCCACCATGCCCACCTGACATTCATGTAAGAGCTGAGAATATGACATCTGGCTCTCATGCTTGTGTGACAAGTCTTTATGCACTGAGCCATGGCCCCAGCCCCAGTGTTTGAACTCTTTTGTACCACCTGGCAGCAGCTGGCTGGCACACAGCCCTGAACCAACATAGCTGCTGATGATCTTTCTTTTCAATAAAACATAATTGATCACTAAGATCTGAACAATTTTGAGAAGTTATACTTTTTTTTTTTTTTTTGCTAGACACAGAGAAAAGGACAAAGTGTTCCTTAGATCAAAAGCAAAATACCTTCACTGGGGGAAAAAAAGTTTCACTTGGCTGTTTTTAGTCATTTGTACTATCAAAATGTGTGTACATTAAAACCAAACACATAAGCAGCTAAATAAATATCACAGGTTTCTAAATTGAAGGATTGATATATAGCCCACAAAGCAGAGTCTGCTTTTCTCTAAATCATGTCTTCAAAAGAACCATTGCTTTGTGGTACATGCCTGGAATCTGAGCCAACATAGATGCTGAGATGGGAAGGCCTAGACTCAAGTTCAAGACTAGCCTAGGTGGTAATTATCTCACTGGTAGAACTTTTATACAGAACATGGGAGGGCTGGGGTCTTCTAAAACAGATATGTCATGCCTCTGTTGTTCCTTGGATGGGAAAACCTAATCTAATCTAATCTGCCAATTTAGGATACTTGAGTTGGAGGGACTGTGGAAGGTCATGACTACTCTCTTGGGTGTCACTGCCTTCTCAGGCAGAAAGCTAAAGTAGTCTGCCTTGGATGAGGGCTGCAGCTGTTGCCACTACTTCTATGCTGCAAAATGTAGGTGTTATTATAGGTTCCTCTCATGAAACTGACTTGGCATCATGCCTTGGATATGACAAGTTCTCAGGTGTATTTATGGAGCAAATAGCAGAGAAGTGAATTCCCTCAAGGAAGACCATATTGGTCTTTCAGAAGGAAGCTTTAGCTACAGAGAATTACATGTTCTTATCCTTCAGTTCATATGCTGAGTTTACTCCATGTGTACCTATCACCCTGTGAGCTACAGTTTCTGCAGTGAGTACAGGTGCCTCCTCAAAGAAACTCATCAAAATGAAATCTCTTTTCTTCCTCCAAACAGAAACTAAATTCAATAGGTTTCTCCTGCCCTTGTTATAAAGTCCCAGTTGCATGCCACCTTTGATGCTGCTCAGGATTCCATCCAATCTCGGCTCTTCAGACTCATGAACACCAGAGGAGCCCTTGCTCAGGTTGCAGGCCCTGCTTCTCCCAGGCCTATGACTAGAGCAAATCTATCAAGGCCTCACTTGAAAGGAAATTGGCAAAATTTACACATGCTGCTTCATGTAGAGTGATTTCCTTATACTTTTGAATAATTTAATCAATAGTTAATTACTCAATTAACAATTTAGTTATTAACAGCATAATGACTTAATTAATAGAAATAGAAATTCTTCCAGATACCTATGTGGCTTTTATTCTGATTCCATTCTATTCTGACTACTACAAATTCTTACATGCTCTACTACATTATTTCTTAGAAGAGATGAAAAATGAGTAGAAGAGAAAGATAATGGTGTTTTTTAATCATCTTCATCAAATATATTTTAAAAGCAAATGACTGTTGACAGTCATGGGGAAATGGAATGGTTATTGGTCTGCCAGGATCAGGGTAGGACCTGGTCTGTCTGAATTACCACTTCTATCTCTTCACCCTGTTCTCTATAGGAGAGATTTGGGAGAGGAATTTTCATAAGCAATTTTGATGGTTCTCCTGTGGAGCTTTTGCTTCTCAAAGTGTTCTGTTTCATGTGGAGGACAGCCTAGAAAGATGGTGGGATGAGCCTGGATCACTGAGATGTTTTTCCAGTTGGTATTTCCCCATCCTCATGGAGCCATCACAGAACAGTCACAATTCTAACCACCCTCCTGTGCCCCAAATGTGGGTGTCCCATGACCTCGGCTGAGCACAAAACCTTACTTCCTAAGGAATTAGAATCACCAGTAACTTCTTTGCCAGTGGCACTTCCCTTCAGCTGGTGCCCAACTGGCTTATAGTCTGCCCTATGTTCTATATATTTCTCTATGCTGAAGGAAGAATTGTCCTTTCTAGAAGGCTATTTCTCTAGATATCTGTGTCACATACCACATATGTCAGTTACCCCTTCTTGCTCTGTGCTAAGCATCTCCAGAATTTGGAGATTGCACTGATATACTGACACCTAGATTTAAATAAATAAATAAATAAATAGCCTGGGAATTCTGTGCTTTCATCTTTTGTTATTTCAGACTTTCAAGGGGTTCTAAGACAGCGGCCTCTTACAAAGTTACTTTGGCCGTACTTCAGCATCCATGCAAGTCTTACTGTGTCAATCATGAACTTGCTTTAACAAATACTCAGTTTTATTTTTAGTATTAAACTCACTATGTCCTTTCTAAATGATTATGTTTCCCTTTTTCCTTAAGCCACAAGGAAACCAAAAGCCACATTAGCAGACCTGATGGGATTATAATTAGGACTTCCTATGTGCCAACCTCCATATATGCTGTACCACTGAATGCAATAACAAGCCTGGAAGAAAGGCTCTCTTATACTCCTTTCATAGATAAGAAAACTAAGATTCAATAAAGTTAATAAATGTGGCAGATATCATGACCCTAGACCACTAAGTATATATGCATGTACTTCCTAAGAAAACATTTTCTTTTATAACCATGACCCAATCCTCAAATTCAGAAAGTACTGTGGATACAACTCCTATATAATTCATATTAAAATGTTATTGTCCTAAATCTATCTTAAAAGGAAGTAGATTCCAACACATAGACACTAAATTAAAAATAATCTCACAGAATTTCAGAATAAAAGTCATTTATTTAGAAATTCATACACTTAGCAGAAGGAAATCAAAATCATTATTTAGTCTTTTATTTAATATGTTGCTTGACCACCTTGAATGTGGAGGCTGTAACATGCATTGGTAATTAGGTGTCATTGGCAACTGTTGCTCTAAACACTTGGAGAGAAGAGTGAACAAAGGCATCATTAAATGACTTTAATAGAATTGAGTGTCGTGTTTTTAAGATTGCTATTATATTATGAATGTACAATAAGACTGATCTATGTTGGCTAATGGTAAGTTAATAGCAGTTCATTCTTTCTAAGGATTTAAATGTCTCTCAGTATTTTTTACCTACAATAGTAGGATTTTTCACTGACCTCAATGGATTCCTGTGGCCAAAAATTACAAAGAAATCATGAGGTGAAAACTGAGTGTAAATCAGGAATATTGTGCGAAGTCCTATTGTAAATATTAAGAGAATACTGTGTGCAGATAAGGTCATAGAAAAACAGTCTAAATGTTTGTCATTGAAGGATACTTTGGGATGAGATGAAACATACAAAATTACAAAGCTTCTGCCAAGGAGGCAGCAAGCAAAATAAGCTGTCATAGACCTATATAACATGTGATGTTTCCTTTTCTTCAGAAAAGGAAGTTAAAGGAAGAATTGTTTAAGGAAACAGTCTGGGGGGGGGGAGGTGGAGAGATTGCTTAGCAGTTAAGATATCTGGCTTCTCATCTAGAGGACTCATGTTCAATCCCCAGCATCCATGTCACGGCTCACAAACATCTGTAACTTAGTTCCAGGGGCTCGGAAGGCCTCCTCTGGCTTCTGGAGCACCAGGCATACCCATGGCTCCCAGACACACATGCAGGCAAGACACTCTACACTTAAAATAAAAGTTGAAAAAGGAAAAAAAACATGTACATATGTGTTCTTGTATATGTGCAGCAAAGGCTAAGATATTTATAAGCTTGTTTTTAAGTCTTTTTAAACAATTCCCATACAAAAGCATATTTGAGTGTTTCATTTATGTCCCTAACCTGTCCCCCTCCAAGTAAATATCTTTCAGCTGAATAAGTCACAGCTTAACTCACTGAGATATCTATTATACTGTCAGTTCCCCCCCACACAGACCCTGCTGTAAGTCTAGCTAATACAGTGTCTATGCCATTAAGACATATGTGTTCATACATCAATGCATGTTGCTAAGGAATCCAGTCATTTTTTTAAAAATATAAGCTTTGATATTTCAAAGCAAGCAAAAGATCCCTGTGGAAACAAGGAAAATATATATTAATTTGCTCACAAATTATCACAAAATAATGAATGTGGTATCTGGTTGGAAAACATGCATATGTGTCACAAATCTGAAGGAATATGTTGTTGCTTCATTTATTTTGTGTTTTTATATTTGCTAACTTTAGTTTTATTTTATTTGGCATACATGGGTGTTTGTCTGCATGTATGTTTGTATACTACATGCTTACAGGGCCCACAGAGGTCAAAAGAAGGCATTTGATCCCCTGGAACTAGAGTTACATGTGGTTTTGAGCCACCACGTGGTGCTGGGAATCAAACCCAGCTCCTCTGGAAGAGCAACGAGTGATTTTAAGCACTGACACAGCTCTCCAGTCCCACATTTGATTTCATTTTTGTAGTCCTGAGAACTGAGCATAAAACCTTGAGTTTGCTATTTGGTGGAGCTCAGGGAATCCTGCAGAAGAGGGGGGAGAATTGTAGGAATTAGGGGGGGGTCGTCAAGGACATCTCAAGAAACCCCAGAGAATCAACTAACCTTGGTTCATAGGGGTTCACAGAGACTGAACCAACAACCAGGGAGCCTGCATGGGAATGACCTAGGCATATATGTTACAGTTGTGTAACTTGGTCTTCTTGTGGGACTCCTAACAGACAGAGCAAGAGCTGTCTCTGACTCTTATTGCCTACTTGTGGGACCCTTTTCCTCAGACTGGATTGCCTCATCTAGCCTTACTATGAGGGGAGGTGCCTAGTCTTATTGCAACTTGATATGCCATGTTTGGTTGATTTCCATGGAAGTCCCACCCTCTTCTGGAAAGAAACAGAGAAAGAGTAGACTGTGGGGAATATCAGAGGAGGGTTGGGGGGATTGGGAAGAGAGGAGGGAGGGGAAACTATTGTCAGGATGTAAAATAATAAAGAAGAAGAAGAAGAAGAAGAAGAAGAAGAAGAAGAAGAAGAAGTATCATTTGAGAAGTTTAAGAGGGAATGAGAGGTGAAGTGGAAGAGGTTAGGAGAGAATGAACATGACAAATGTTGAACGGAGGAAAGGGGCAATGTGATTTGAGCTTAAATATAATATGTTCTTGCTACCTTCTGCAGGCTAGCCTTGGACCTATTCTGTAGCCCAGGCAAGCCTTGAGTTTGTGATCCTCTTGGCTCTATCTCCCAGGGAGCTGGATTACAGGCCTGCACCCCTAGGCCTAGCTAACACTACTTTTCCTGCTGTTTCATTTCTTTCCCCCTTTTGAAGACTTTGTCATACTTTTAATGTCAACATAAATGATAGACTGCACATTAGTTTCCACTCTGCTGATAATTTAATAGAAGTTCAGTAAAACACAAGCTCTATTCATCATTTTCAGTTATAGAACAAGTATGTGGGAGCATGTTATCCTGACTTCACCAAACACTTCAAAATGGTTATAACCAGTTATGATCATTACAGTTTCAGCTCAGAGGAGTACCAATCTCACACATGCTAGAACAGAATTTAAACTGCATCTCTACATCAGATTTCCATAGGTCATAGTAAATTTTATATGAATTTGTAGTAATTGTTTTGCATTTTGAAGATGTGTGGGCTGGCCCTTTTCAGTGACAATTAGGTTTGTGTTTGATTTCTGAAGCCAATCGTTCAGAACAAAGCTAGCCAGATAACAAACAAAATGTGGCAATGCCAAGAAAGATTTCTATCCTTGAATTTTGTGTGACTTTTCCCAAATAACAGTCCCCCTCACATTACAATCATTTCCCCACTTGAAGACAGTTATCTACATGGTAACAATATCAAAGACTAGGCATACCCCCTTAGAGACATTCCACTACACAACCACAAAACCAGAAAATAGAATTAGCTCTACTTGAATGTTTTTCTGATGATGGTGGCTTATTTCTTAGACAGCGCAAGGACGAGCTAGAACAGAGGATGTCTGCTCTCCAGGAGAGCCGGAGAGAGCTGATGGTCCAGTTGGAAGGTCTCATGAAGCTACTGAAGGTAAGGCATTTCACATCAATGTTTCTGACCTACTATTATGGTGTTTCAAAATTGTTTGCACATAACTTTCAATGGCTTTTCCAATCACTGTATGCAATTTCCTTCCCAAATGTTGTGAAATCAGATATGGAACCATTTCTTAAGCATGTGAAACAGCAGCAGTAGATCAATAATAGCTCTCATTCTCATGCACTTTCTGGAACTAGGCTGCTATGGACCATAGGGCAAATTCTTTGTTTATTTTCAGTCTCTTATGTCCTTTAATATTATAAAACTGGATTTGTTTATAAATGCTTTCTGTCAGTTTTGGCAATTCTGACTGGCTTGAACACAGGCTAATGTCTAATTCGTAAAATTAAGAAATCGTGACTAACATGTCTTGACAGTAATAGTAAATATTTTACTGCATTTCTGTGGCTCCAACAAGTCATATGACTTCTGTGGGTCTCAAGTGCAAACTGTAAGTGGGATATTTCCTCTCTCTTCTGAGGGAAAAGTACCAAATGATAGAAGTCCAGTAGGATGAAGTAGGCTGCTATTTCATTGGAAGTAGCAATCTCCTTTAATAAGATCGCACTTCTGTCAGCAGTTTATGCTAAATTGCTTTCCAAGTTAACAACAGATGGACATATGGACACTCAGGCCAATAGCAGTGTCCATGCTCCATGGTCATCTGGCCTAAGGGAAACAGTGGGAACCAATATAAACAGGAACTGCCATGTGCCAAAGGCAGCAACTGGGACTTCTGACTGGAGAGCCACAGAGGGAATGAATGGCCCTGTGCATTCACTGTGAGACAGGAATTTCACAGTTTGGTTTTCAGCCCATGCATTCCCACCCTTCCCCCAACCAACATTTGTGGTTTCTCTGTTGTCCTTTCTTTCTTTCTTTCTCCTTCTCTTTCCTTTCTTACTCCTTTTTCTCCCCCTTTCTCTTTCTTTGTTCAAATGCTTTTTAAAAACAATTCTGTGAAGCTTTCTGTCCCAGACACTGCACTTGTAGCATTTCTTTCGTTTGTTTTCTTTGCTCCGTTTTATAACTTAGCCAACATTTTTGGCCATCAGAACCTTCTTTAATAATCCATTTGGGAAATGCTTTATCATTACTCAACAAAATTTACTTCCAGTTGCTAGACATATGAAGTGTAGAGCCGGGGGTTTGGTTGGTTGATATTGGTTCTGTCTTTGATAAGACTGGATCATTAGTAACTTGTTTCTAGCCTATTATCTCATTTGATGCAACAGAAAATCTCTTTTCTGTTTCCCTTTGAAAATACATCGGGTGAAAAGTTCTGAACCAATCTTGCCCTTCCCTGAATGGCAGGAAATTCTGACAAATCTCTGCTGGAATTCCTACACTTCTTCCACTGTAGTGATGACAAAGGAGTCTACTGGCCAGCAGCCATCATGAATCAACCCCACCCAACTGAACACCGACTTTGTACCAAGATATACAAGTACTGGGATAGACAGACAGATCACATACACAGGGGAAAGGAATGGGTCTGTTGTCTCAAATACCTAAATAGGCTTGGAACTAAAGTCACAGGGGTAGCAGAGGCCAGGAGAAGCG